TGTCTCTCCATCGTCCTCGTCGCTCTAACGTGACTCGTCTCGACGCGGACATCTCTCGCTCAGTCCTCGTTCCTCTGGTCTGGCTCTGTCGTACCGCTATTCCGACCGCCACGCTGTGCCGCGCTGCGTCGCGCCGCGCCAAGCTAAGCCGAGCCGAGCCGCGCCACGCTACCTCTCACGCCGTTCAAGCCGATGCTCTCTTCCGTAAGCGCGCACGCTCGTCTCATTTTTTCCACGCTGTATCCAACGCCTCTTTCCGCCACCCAGAACCCGGAACCCCGTCGCGATATACTCCCCCTTCTTTTCTCTCTCCCGTTACTTTTTCTCGCTCCGCCCTTTTGGTTCTCACCACGGGACGTCTGGTTTTCTCGTCAAGATCTTCATTCATTGTCGTCGTCGGACCTTCATCGTATACATCCCCGTACTAATCGCAACGAAGATTTTCGTCTGTGCAGACCGTGCTTATACCAGAACAATAGCATGTTGTAGAACTGTCTGCCCATTTATTACAATTTTCTAAAACCGGACATAGCACCGAAGATCAAAGAACGATCTTCGGTAGCGAAATGAAAAGACAATCTGCCAGAAGGTTGCATCTACTCCATGACTCTCATCAATTTTATACTAATTCTTCAAAAATTCCTAACATTTCAGGAATTGCTTCGATGTGATAAATAGTCCGAGACTAATTTCCGGACCGGGTCCGGAATTTAAAGATTTGACGATCGTTCGTTGCCTGCTTTTTCTTTTGCATATTAACGCTGAATTATTCAATGCGCATCGTATAGATCTGCGCAGAATCTCGGTCTTTGAGAGAACTTGAAGAAACGGACAGTCGCAATTACGCCGGTAACTAAATTTGAGTCTTTTTCAGATTTACACGAAAATATTCTTTGGATATTCTATGAATCATGAAGAGAGTAGGTCCAAAAGAATATTTAGCTTAAGATTAGAAACGCAAATATTCTATTGCGTTTTTACAGTCTTTTGTATTGAGTTTCCTCGATACTACTTCCTTGATTCTTTATATCGAATTCGTACAAAGATAGCTTTACATAAAGAAAAATGATACGCGACATTCTTATGCGACAGAAGATTGCTTTATAAGATAAATAATCCGTTTATGTGTTGAAATTACAATTATTGGATTGCTATCGCATCGATACGACGTTAGTCAATTCCAACAGTCTGTGTGAAATTCGTTTTTCTTCTCACAATCGTGGAATTCGGCATTGTTATTTGATTAACTCTGTCTTCCGCTTAAACTTCGGGGTGCGGAACACGTGGGAAGTTTCGATACTTTTGGGAATTCATCGTCGCATTTCCGACCTAGGAAAGGACACTTAGCTATTCCGAAGCTATATCTCGCATACCAGTGCGGAAGAATAGTCGGTGCGCTTTACCTCTCGAAGTTACCTTAATCTCTATCCTTTTCTTTATCCCACGCCGCACGAAACGACAGAGTTTCAGAGTGAGACAGACTTTCACGCTCGAGCGGTGGTGGTCTAAGTAGGCAGGAGGAAACAAAGAACGGGAAAAAGGGACTTAGACACAGTCCTGGAGTGCAGGCACGAGCATACAAAAGAATCGGCGAAGTACAATGCTTAGAACTAGTGGGCGGTTTCGTTCGCCGGTTAAAACCGGGAAGAAGCCTCGCGGAAATCGCGTATTTCGTTTCAAGTATCAAGCCAGGGGAAGGGAGAATTGCCGGGGCCGTGAAGCCGAGGCGAAATGCGACGTCATGGAACGCTCCTTTAGAATTCCGATTATTCGGAGAAAGCAGAAGTCGATGCGGAAGAGCGAGAGATCGCCCGGCGGTAAGCGGGAGCGAACGAGACTGACGCGCAGTAGGGGGCGCAGTAGGGGGCGGTACCCCTTAACACCGGGCACGAGGCAAATATAGGGAGACCAGCTGTGTTCTATCCTTGTTCGGGTTGCTCTAAGGGGGTCGAGGATTATTAAAACGGACGAGGGACAGGGACGAGGGAGAGGCCGGAGAAGGGAAGAGGGACCACAGCCTTCTACTGTTACGGTGCACAGCCTCGGGAACCGGTAAGCCCCTCTCGTGCCTCGCGCCTCTCGTTCTCTCCTTCCGCTTCTCTCTCCCCTTCTCTGTCTCTCTCTCCTTCAATCTCCCTGATTCGGTATTCAAGTTGAAACCGCGGTGCATGCTCTCAGTGCATAAAATGCCCCCTACAATGATCCCAATCAACTGTGTGGTGCCCATGCACACAGCGGAGCTCAGCAATCAGGACCGCTTTGATGACGGCGGCCAAAAATTCGGCATTAATTCAATGAGAGACACCGCGCGGCGAATCGATACGATCGATCGATCGATCCGTCGATCGGTGACTCGCCGCCGCTCGTTGCGAACCGCACGCACTGCGAAAGTGGATCATCTATCTTGATCAGCAAGCTTGAAAGCCGAAGCATTTTCAAACGAGCGTTGAAGTACTCCTTAAGCGAAAACGTCCCGTGAGGAATAAGCCGCGATACTGTGGCTCTCAGACAAAACGTGGTCGATAAATCCCGGAAAGAGTCGAAATAATTCGAATACACAATTTTACGGATGAAAAAATAATAGATCAGAATTTGTCTACGCCTTGCAATTTTGTTGTCGCCTTATATCTTAGCACACAATGAAAGTTTCACAGACCCTTTTTTAAAGAATCTAAAGATTCCGTTACCTGCGACGGCAAAGAATCCTTAAAGCTTATGTCCTTGACAGACAAAAGAACAAAAATGACTATTGAAGTCATTGTGGAATAACATTGCCTTCTACTATTATCAGCATCGACATCATAAATGTCAGAGTGTTTCAAACACTCGTGATTGATTTATAAGACAATATCGATCTTTTAGAAAAAATATACATGTACTTTATGTTCCACTTTTACTTAGTTCGATTTAATTTATACAACGCAAAATTTTTGACCAGCTTTGAACATTTAGCTCTTTTGCCTATTATAAAAAATTATAAAAAACACAAGAGAAATTTTTAGGTGTTTAAAATATAGCTTGATTTGAGTTAATTATAGTATCTCTTTACACTATCAAATTTATCATATTTTCTTTTTATTATTAAGCCGTCCCCCACTCTCTTATTTCTATTCTTATTAACTCATATCACATATCTATTTATCATATTATAAAATTTCTAAAGCTTAAATAGATAAAAAATACGCGCAGTTCAGTTTTTCTTTTTCGACGTAACGCGTTCTCGATCGAAATATATTCATACCTTTCCAGTTACCCATGGAACTCAAATCACGCGTGAACGTTCCGGAGACGAT